ACCCCTTTTGGGGGGTATACGTATTCATTCCCTGCTACGCGTGGTTGGCAAAGCCCTTGGAAACGAATGGCACCAGATAGCGGAGGGGATTGGGGACGAAGGGATCGGAGGAAGGGAGGGGAGGGACAAGAAGGAGGGAGGACGATGATTTGCGCTGCGAGTGGCGATTCAGCTTGCGCCATGGCTTGCGCCAGCCACTCCAACACAGGTTAAACATAAGTTTCGCTATGGGTCGCGCCATAAACAGCGCCACGTACCAACCCCTTTAAAAGAACATATCGTGGATACCCCCACGGGGGGACGTACAGCTGCGAACTGGTGTCGGAAGCAAATTTCGTGGAACCCTGAGAAGAAGCGGGATATTGGGAGAGTGGGGCGGAAAGATAGTGAGAACTGCAACCGTGTCGAGAGGAGCGCGGGGATGTGGAGTGGATTGGGATGGAGTGGACAAGAAGAGGGTCTCTGGAAGAAGAGCGGCAAGGAGTGGAGATGAGGAGCCGGGAGGAGTGCGGATGAGCGGGGGGCGCACGGAGGAATCTGGAGGAAGGACTGGGAATCATTTGGGTAAAATGCGAAGGCCGAAGCGAGAGCGCGATTCTCCTATAAACTGCGCGGAAGTATCCGGCGGGAGCCCCGATTCGATTGTAAATTGCAAGGAAGTCCCAAGCGAGAGCGCGATTTTTCAATACACTGAAATGAAGTATAACGCGGGAGCCGCTGTTGGCGCGGGCCACGACGGGCGCGAACGAGCAGGGGCCACGAAGGGCATACGTATAGGGGGCCGCGAAGGGCAACGACGGAGCCGCTGAAGGCAGAAACGGGGCCGCGAAAGGCAGAGAGGGGGCCACGAAGAGCGACAGCGGGGCCACGAAGGGCATGCATATGGGGCCACGACGGGCACGAACGAACGGGGGCCACGAAGGGCATACATATGCAACGCGGGGGCCACGAATGGCGACAGCGGGGCTGCGAAAGGCATGAGTATGGGACCACGAAGGGCGCGAGCGAGCGGGGGCCACGAAGGGCAATTAATCCGGGGCCACAGAGGGCAGCGACGGGGCCGCTGAGGGCAGAAACGGGGCCACGAAGGACAGAGAGGGGGCCACGAAGGGCATGCATATGGGGCCACGACGGGCGCGAACGAGCGGGGGCCACGAAGGGCATTCGCATATGGGGCCACGGATGGCGACAGCGGGGCCACTGAGAGCAGCAAAGGGGCCACGAAGGGCAGCGAGAGGGCCACGAAGGGCGACAGCGGGGCTACGAAAGGCATGCGTATGGGGCCACGACGGGCGACTGCGAGCGGGGGCCACAGAAGGGCATATAATGCGGGGCCACAGAGGGCAGCGACGGGGCCGCTGAGGGGAGCAACGGTGCCACGAAGGGCAGCGAGCGAAGGCGACCATTACGGGCAGCGAGGGGCATCGAAGACGGGCGAAAGGCAGCGAGCGGCGACAGCAGTCCCTAACGGGCTGGTCGGGCGGGCACGCCCAGACGGGCGGGTCGAGCGGGCGGGTCGTTGAAGCGTAAATTTTGCTTGAACCGCCAAGCAATATGTAGCGGGAGCGCGATTCCTGAGTGTCGTGGAGCGGCATCTGAATAAATTGTAAGGAAGTATCTGGCGAGAGCCGCGATTCGATGGTAAGTTGCGAAGAAATCCAAAGCGAGAGCGCGATTCTTCAATACATCGCAAAGAAATGCGACGCGGGAGCCGCAATCCGGTGGCAAATTGCAAGGAAGTCCCAAGCGAGAGCGCGATTCTTCAATAAATTGTGAGGAAGTCTCAGGCGGGAGTCGCTGTTGCTGTAAACCGGGGGCCAAAAACACAATTTGACCCTCAAGACTTTCCCTGTTCAAAAACAAAGTGCGAGCCCCGGGAAAGGCACTTCAATCGAAAAAACAATGTGCAACGGACGGGGGGAATCAACACAAACTATTCCTCTGAAGTGAGAATTCAACGACAACAACAACAAACATTTTAAGACTGTTTGCCCTTATCTGCTCGAATGTCCAATAACGCCTATTTCCCAAACCCTCGATACCCTCCCTCTTCGTCTTCGATCGAACCCCTTTTGGGGTGTACCTTTCTTCCCTGCAGGCCGGGCCCCGGCAAGCAGAGGGGCGACCGCGGACCGTCGGCCTGGCCAGCGGCAGCGCTGATCGGCGGGGCGGCCGCAGACCGTCGACCCGACCCCAAGAGGGACGGACAGGGGACCAACCACGACGACGACGACGACGTCGACGACAACGGCGACGACGACGACGACGGCGACGACGACGAGCGAAAGCGAGAGCGAAAGAGAACGACAGCAGGGCCACAAGGACACGAAGTAGGCCACGAAGGGCAACAGCGGGGACACGAAGGCAATGCGTATGGGGCCACGAAGAGCGCGAACGAGCGGGGGCCACGAAGGGCAGATAATGCGGGGCCACAAGAGGCAACGATGGGGCCACTGAGGGTAGCAACTGGGCCACGCAGGACAGATGCATATGGGACCAC